TACGCATTAAAACAGCTTACAGGAGGCAGAGCGAGAGCTCATGCTCCCCCTCGCTGGAGCTCAGCTCGCCCAAATGGCTCTGCAGCGAGCACCCTCTCCATATTTTCAGTCTTTTTCTGAACATTCGAGCCTCCCTATACGCAACCATACCGCCGAACCACCAGGTGTCGCCCTTGCTCTAAAACGTGAGTCTTCTGTGCTTTCGCTTTGTTTAGGAATGAAAACACTTATAAATAAATATTAAAAACGGCGCGATTCCATTTCCTTTTGATTACAGGTGCCGTCAGACTGTCAGCTGACACGCTCCATAGTGATAAACAGACGCTGTTTCCCAAACAGATTCTGTACACGCGATTTGAAGAGGAGCGAAAGTCTGGCTTTTGGGTGCGTGTTTAAACAGACATACACACAAAATTAATAATAATAACATATAAGGATGTCGATCTTGGTGGGTTTTTTTTCAAACACATCTAATTTCATCTTAAATGAGCATAAAAAGTTAGAAAAGCAGTTGAATGCTTTTATTATAATGTTAGATGTGTGCATTTTTAAAGTGACACCTTTTTTAATGTAGTAAAAAAATCTTAATAAATTCGAGATTCATTCGTTGCTCTTTAATCATAATAATAATAATTTTAAAACATACTACTGACCATTTAATTGAAAAAAAACAGTTCCAAATGAACACATTTAGTAATTTGGGGATTTTTTAAGGAGGGGGGGGGGGTCCCTTGTTATGGTGGGCATATCCCTTATTTTCACATCCCAATGTTGACAGGTATGGATAAGGTCTCAGATGAGCTCTTAGCTAGCAGTATATCTCTCCATCCCTACTGAAAAAAACAGCTTAACAGACTGGGAGATGACCAGCTAAAACCAGCCTTGCCAAGCTGAGAGCCCAGCCAAAACCAAAAATGTCCAGCTTAAACCAAACTGATCAAACTGGTTTTAGCTGGTTTTAGCTGGTCATTTTCCAGCCTGACCAGCTAAAACCAGGCTGGAAATGGCTTGAAACCAGCCTGGAAGTGGCCAAAACCCCTCTAAAACCAGGCTGGTCAACCAGCTAAAACTAGCCAACCAGCTTAGGCTGGTTGAAGCTGTTTTTTAGAAGGGATAGCAATCCCTAATTTGTCTTTAACTATGGACAGCAATGGAGTTTTCAAGATCTACCCGAACTCAAACTCCCCTCCTACCCACCAAACAGGAGGGAGCCCCTGGGCTGGAGGATCTTATGAGCTCAGGGCTCCTGGGACAGCATGCCAAACACGCTTTATAGTCAATCATCAGCTAAGTGTGAACTCTTGAACAAAACATTAGCAACCCCATAACAACACCCCAGTATTCTTAATTAAAACCACGAAACAAACAGCCCAGCAACCATCCATAACTATTTTGCGATGACATAATAATTAGCAATTAGCAACAAACTACACCTTAGAAACAAAGTTACTACCCCAACAACAACCCAGAACAGCTTTGCAACCACATAGCATCCTGAAAACAACCATTGACAACTCTTTACAAACCATAATATACAAGCAACCACAAGGTCCAACCACTATTTTGTTTTGCAAGAGCAATTCTGACAATTTCTTCAGATCTAGTTAACAATGTCATCAGTGCCGTCTCAAATTTAATAATTTACAGCAATGAATAAAGTACAAACATGCCTTAAATTGTGAATAATAACATAAGACCAGCAGCATAAAGTGTCAGCAGTCAGGGTGGGGTGTTTCCCTCACCGCAAGTCCACATGTTTGTCTTGACTGTTAGCACACACACAAACCCAGCATCCATAATCACAAAGTATGTAAAGAAGAACCGAAGAATAAATATGAAACAAGCAAGGTCTTATTCAAAAGGCATCAATAATCCTACTTGAGCACACAAGTCACAGAGCTAAAGAGCAGCAGCATCACACACTTTCTTCCGGGTATTGTTTTACCGTATTATCCAAACAGCATGTAGGATGGAGAAACAGAGCTATTACAGCAACACCGGCTCATGCTAGGACAGAATGTAGCATCATTAAAACCTGTCTGGGGAATACCATACGCGCACCGCATGAGGAGAGAGTGGGAGAGGATGACAGACGGACAGGCAGGGAGAGGGTAAACGTGGTAGAAAAAAGACTAATATTGCCCAATCAATGGCCTTACCTCATCCTGTGTTTGGCATCATATTCTGACTACTGCAACAACGGGTACCGTGAGTCTGCGATTCTACACATGTTCCTCAGACAACCCTCTAGCTTCTCGCCCTCTTTCTCGCACAAACGCACACACACTCAAGGATGCTGGGAGGAGGAGGGGTAAATGATGGAGAGATCGTGCGCCAGGAGGATGAGATCAATAAAGAACAATATAACACATGTGACTTGTGTATTGTCTAATAGAAGGGAATGGACACATAAAAACCATCCAATCAAGACAAACGAATGCCCTCTAGATTAAATATGACTGCTTGTTTTACAGTAGGATTAACACAATTTGCTAATAAAAAAGTGTAGGCCCTACAGTTGTAATCACCCTGCTTTGTTTTGGTTTTAAGTGATATTTTGGTATTGGAGGCAGATGTGGAAACAAAGACGCTAAAGGTCGCAGATTCTAGCAACATTACCTGGTGTGCCTCTTGAGGCCAGGGAATGAGATTGACATGCATAGCTCCAACTAGTTTGCCTGAGTTGCTATCACTCCTCAAAACCGTGTTACCATCTGGGTCACGGCACCAATTAAACCTTTATGGTTCTATGTACATTGTTCTGGCGAGGCAGTGGCGCAGTAGGTAGTGCTGTCGCCTCACAGCAAGAAGGTCGCTGGGTCGCTGGTTCGAACCTCGGCTCAGTTGGCGTTTCTGTGTGGAGTTTGCATGTTCTCCCTGCCTTCGCGTGGGTTTCCTCCACAGTCCAAAGACATGTGGTACAGGTGAATTGGGTAGGCTAAATTGTCCGTAGTGTATGAGTGTGTGTGTGTGGATGTTTCCCAGAGATGGGTTGCGGCTGGAAGGGCATCCGCTGTGTAAAAACTTGCTGGCGGTTCATTCCGCTGTGGCGACCCCGGATTAATAAAGGGACTAAGCTGACAAGAAAATGAATAAATGAATGAATGTACATTGTTCTGAATGGGACCTGAACTTGAATGTGGTTACAAGTGACTAAGCCGAAAATAAATTGAATTAATTTCTGGTATGTGCAAACAAGAACATTAAAGACTTCCCAAGACTCCCCAAACCTCATTACCACACGGGTCACGGCACCAATTAGACCCTTACAACTCTACTCACGTTGGTCTGAATGAGATCTGAACTTGTATTTGAGGTGAATGTGGTAACGTGAATGCTAAAGATCACAGGTTCTACTGATACTATTTACACCAGTCAGAACAGAATTTAAACGGGTATTTCTGATATGTGCTAACAAAAACATTAAAAACAGCCCAAGATTCCCCAAACCTCACTCCCACCCAGGTCACGGCACCAATGAACCCTGTATGGTTTTTCTCGCACTGCTGTGAATAGCATCTGCACTTGCATGGGAGGTGAATGTGGTAACATTTATGCTAAATACCACATGTTCTACTGAACTGGACAAACCCAAAACATTTACACCTCTCTTAGACCAGAATGTCTTCCATTTGAGATTCGATCGACTAAAATGCATCTTAATATGAAGTAAAATTGACAGTGCCTGTACAGGGGTGTCAAATGAGGGATGTGTTTTACCTTGTGGCAGAAGTGTTGGGTGGTGATGCTGAACACATCCAGGCATTGTAAGGACTTTCTGAGCTCTTCCTGCAGGCTGATCAGCTGCCGGGCCTGATCTTCACATCTCTCCTTCAGTCTCTGCACCATCAGCCGCTCGCGCTCAGCATCCAAACCCTCTGAACGCCCACCCAGACGGGCCACGCATGACTTCTGACGCACTGGAACATATACATGAACATGAATAAAAACTGTAGGAAAGTTTATTATTATGAGAATTAAGTTACATAATTATTGGGTTTTAACAGTTCCTATTTTAGGTTTTGTAGGTCTCCTACAGTAGGTTTACATCCATCAAAGGTATATATATATATATATATATATATATATATATATATATAGGTATTACTCTAATAATATCAACAGAAACATCCGAGTCTTCTCTCTCATTGCCTGAAACAACAGCTTTCTGACAGATTGGTCAAATGAAACCACTCTGCTCTGATTGGTCAGATGATATATCTCTATCTTGATGGGTCTAATGACGCTGCTCTGCTTTGATTGGTTATATAACACAAATTTCCTCTGATTGGTTAGATGACACTACTATGTTGCGATTGGTCAGATTACTCTACTTTTCTCTGATTGGTCAGATGACACTTCTCTGCTCTTATTGGTCAAATGCCATCACTACTCTGATTGGTCAAATG